GTGTGTGTGTGTGTGTGTGTGTGTGTATTTGTGCTGATACATAAATAAAGGGAGACTAGTATAGATCTATTTCAAGCTATTTAGCTCTCATCAGCTAGCCATACCCTTACTGGGATTCGAACCTGTGCTGTATTGCATCTTAGGCAGATGTGTTATATACTCCAGAGAGTAAGTCATCTTCAATCAAATTGGTTGAAATTGCTCCAGGCATTCCAAAGTTATGCTGGAACATACACACACACACACACATACACAGAGAGCCATGTATATGTGTGTGTGTGTGTATGTTCCAGCATAACTCTGGAACGCCTGGAGCAATTTCAACCAAACTTGGTACACAGATGACTTACTCTCTGGAAGCAAATATTGTGGGGGTAAGACACCCCTAAAACCCCTCAGGTTATGTGTTCTGTTAAGATACAGTCTGTTGTGCCTTAAAACGGTTTCTACTGTAGTGCCGTAAAATGGCTTCTACTGTGCAGTGCAGTGCAGTGGAGTTGCCATGGTAACAGCTTCACAGTACTCCACAAGGGGGCTGGTAAGGCGGAGAATCCAATATTAGAAATTACATTTGATCCGGACATTTCCCCCCTATAAATAAATACCTGGGCAATGCTTGTTACACAGCTAATGTGAACATAAATGGCATTGTGTATTTTTTTTTCCTTTTTAAACAAATAGGGAAAATCAGAATATATCGGTGCAACTGTGGCTGCTCCAGTAACTAGGCTGGTGGAGGACAAATATGAACCCCCAAAACTTAGTTACCACCCTCTCTACTGTGGCAGTCTTTCAGGGGGAGATCTTCTGGCTGCATTTGAACTGCTTCAGGTGAGTTTGGAACAATTTCATTTTTAATAAATGGATTCAAGTTTACTCGGTCTTATTTTGACTTCTAGTGACCACCTAGATAGATCTGCAGAGTTTCCAGTAAGAATGATCTTTATGTAGAAGATCATTATAGGAAGGTTTTATTTGAATTAAAAGTTGGGGGCAGAAGGACTGTTAATTTGATCAAAAGAGGATTAGGTTAATTCCAGGGAGAATTGCAGAATGTTGTTTTTTTCCAGAGTGCTTTGAGTAGCATCGCGGCTGAACAATAACATGTGTTTTTGTATTGTAGGTTCCTGATTCTGGCCCAGAAAACCTTCCACCTCTTGATCCTCCAGATGCCAGTCTAATCTATGCAGTCCCAGCCAATATACGGCCTGTATTAAGTAAATATAGAGTAGAAGTAAGTTCAGATAAAATGAACAGCCTAATGATCCTCTGAGCCCTTGTGTAGTTTATGTAAAATAAGCTGAGGGCAAAGTGAGTTTGTTCACATCCATTTGTACTTCTGATGCACACCAGTATGGATGTCATTCTTTGAGGGGGGAGGGGGCAAGAGGGAGGGGAGGGGGCGATTATGGTCACCCCCGCCCCCCCCGAAGTGCTTCTCTCTCGCCCTGAGGGTCCCCCAGCCAAGGAACCACTTCCCCCCGCGGAGAGGGGGAGGAAGAGGAGGGGAGGAGGGGGCTTACTAGAGGAGCAGGAGGAGGAGGGAGAGGAGGAAAAAGAGGAAGACGACGAAAGCGGGTTACTAAA